AAATTCCTGTGGGATACTTAAGAAATATCTCTAGGGACAGCTCTGCAAGAATCATAGAGGTAATATATGAGTAAAGCAAGCAAGTTTATTCTGCATGTAGAAACAGGAATAGTTCAGGAAAGGGAAGGAGCACTATGAAACCAAGGTTCATCCTTGGGTAAAGTGGTGCCAGAAACCTGGCCATACAGAAAGAATTGAGAGGAGCTAAAACGGAGTTAGGACAGTCCCCTCTTTCCTGTCCCTTGGTCAGGGAATTGGTCATGGTCAGCGCCTGTTACTGAATCAGCCCCTACAGTCCAGGATGGTTCCTGGTCAGAGGGGTTACTAGAGATTGATGATAAGTGGGCATGGGGCTCAGGTCCCTGAAATGCTACTTAAGCAGCACAACCAGGCTCTGGCTCCCTGGCTGGTTGTGACTGAGCAACTTTACCCGACAGAGGCAGTGGTGGTTCTGCTGGAAAGTGGGCAGTTCCTAACAGAGCTGACCAGGCTCTTCCAGAAGTGCTGGTCTTCAGAGAGCATGTTCATCACCCTGAAGAAGTAGGATGGTAGGACTAAACTCATTCCACGGACAGGGTCTGGGGAAGGCTTTGAACCAAGAGCTACTGATGGGAAAAGGAAGAGCAGCACTGTGATGAGCACTAAAGAAATGAATAAATTTCAGATGGCCTATTCTAACTTGCTGAGAGCCAATATGGATGGACTAAAGAAGAGACAAGAAAAGCAAAACAACACAGTGAAGGGCACTTGGGTTCCTGTTTTTACTCTATCATCTAAACAGAACTCTGAAGACACTTGGCTGGTGGTACTGGCTTCTCTTGGGACTGAATGACTTCATGTGAGGGGAAGAGGGTGTTACTTTAATGGCAGATCATCATTCAATCTTGTTTCAATCAATTGCAGGTTTATTGTTTACGGGGACACCTGTGATTAAAAAAGAAAAAAAAAAGGCCTGTGTGTATGTGTGTGTCTTATATATGGCATCCACCCAGCCTCACTCCCTCTACATTTTGTAGTATACCTGACCTGTGGTTTGTTTAAGTCACTTTAGCAATCTGTGTGAAGAGAACAATGCGTTATTAAATCTTCTGATATACCTTTCTTGGAAAAAAAAAGACTGCAGGGAAAGAGTCCTAGCAAAGACACTAGGCTGTTATAACCACCACCTCACAGGGCATGCCAGGGTAGGTGGGTCAAAAGTCACTAGTAATGAGGCATGGACTAGGCCCTTTGTAGGAAGAATGTAAACGAGGCAGGAGACAGAAGAGACACTACAGTAGAATTGATATAACTTGGTAACCACTGGGATGATGGGGCAGGGAGGTAAAAAATGACTATAAAATTTCAACCATTTTATACTACCATTGAATAAGTATTTTTAAGCACCTCCTGTATACAAACTTTTGCAGGCATGGAGGATACAGAGACAAAAAGAAAAGCCCCTGCTGTCAGGGAGTTTACATTCTATGTGTATACAGAAGTGTAAACATAATAATTTGAGGAGGGAAAGAATACTAATAAACAGGATGATTGGATAAGGATCCCAAAAGGAGGTCACTAAGGGAGTCCTTGAATCTAAGAAGTGAAGGAAGAAAAGCATCCCAGTCCCAGCTAATAGCCTGTGCAAAGGTGAATCATCTTTGCAAAATGCGGAATTATATGAAACAAATCTGGAGCTGTATTGTGAAGGGCTGTAAATGACAACTAAGAAACTCTGGATTTTACCTGATATAGTAGGGAGCCATTGAACAGGTTAGTTACACGGTCAGGCTTGTGCTTCTGAAAGATTATTTTGGCAGCTATTTGGAAGATTGGTTGGGGGGAAACAGGAAATCTTAAATCCAATTAGGAGGCCATTGCAATAGACCCAGTGAGAGATAGTGACCATGTGAGTAAAGAAAAGGGACCAATGGGGCAGCTAGGTGGCACAATGGATAAAGCGCCGGCCCTGGAGTAAAGATGACAAGTTCAAACCTGGCCTCAGACACACAACACTCAATAGCTGTGTGACTCTGGGCAAGTCACTTAACCCCAATTGCGTCAAGGAAGGAAGGAAGGGAGGGAGGGAGGGAGGGAGGGAGGAAGGAAGGAAGGAAGGAAGGAAGGAAGGAAGGAAGGAAGGAAGGAAGGAAGGAAGGAAGGAAGGAAGGAAGGAAGGAAGGAAGGAAGGAAGGAAGGAAGGAAGGAAGGAAGGAAGGAAGGAAGGAAGGAAGGAAAAGAAAGAAAGGAAGAAAAAGAAAGAGAGAGAGAGAGAGAGAGAGAGAGAGAAAGAAAGAAAGAAAGAAAGAAGAAAGAAAGAAAGAAAGAAAGAAAGAAAGAAAGAAAGAAAGAAAGAAAGAAAGAAAGAAAGAAAGAAAGGGAACCTATGTAAAATACAGTAGATTATGGAGTATCAAGACTGAAAACTAATGGACATGAGGGAGTGAAAGGGAAGAGTTAAGGGTGATTCACCAAAGTTGTAAACTTGGGTCAGTGTTAGGGTTGATGCCTTCAAAACAGGATGAATTAGGAGGGTGGGGAGGTTTAGGGGGCCAAGATATTTGGCATGAGTGAGATGCCTGTGGGACAGGCAGTGGTGATACAGGATTGGCACGCCACAGCTTAAAATCAAAATAGAGAAGTGTTTCGCATGGAGATAACAGAACCATTGGGAGATAATGAGGGAGAAGACAACGAAGCTGGATTAAGGAGGAAGGCTAATAAAGAATTAGAGAACACTACAGTTAGGAAATTGGACATGTATGATGATCTACCATATGCAGATGTGGTCAGATAGATGAACAGGAAAAAAAAAACAGCAAAACTGGAAGGGGGCAGCTAGCTGGCACAGTGGATAGAGCTCTGCTCTTGGAGTCAGGAGGACCTGAATTCAAATCCAGTCTCAGACATAGGACATTTACTAGCTGTGTGACCCTGGGCAAGTCACTTAACCCTGATTGCCTCACCAAAAAGGAAAAAATAAATAAATAAAAATTTTTAAATGGAGGAAGAAAGGATCCAGGAAAAGAGTAGTAGCCAGTACTGGCAAATGCTGCACAGAGGTTAAAAAAAGAGAGGGAGATTAAGATTAAGAAAAGGTCATTGGACTTAACAACTAATGAGATCATTAGTAATCTTGGAGAGTTAGTTGAGTGGTAGGGTAAGAAGCCATACTGTAAGGGATTGGAAGTGAGTACAATATAGACAGTTTTTAATAAAATTTTTCCTCTGAAAGGGAAGAATGGCATAGCTATTATATATAATTATATACGTGTATATAACTACTAACAGACTGAGTGGATAGCAGGGTCAATTGAAGACTCAAGGATGGGGGAGACTTCGGCATCATACTGACTTAAAATTTAGCTGTCCCATCTCTTCTTCACAGGAAAAATCAATCAAGCTAGTTCAGTAAACATTTTTCTCATTACTATATTCATCTGGGTGCACCTGACAGGCAGGCAAAATGCTGGGTACAACTCAAGCTTCTGGCTAATGTGCACATAGTTAAAAACAACATCAAACCAGACAAGCTGCAAGTTAGGGGAATCAACAGATGAAAGGCAATAAAAGAGATACCCTGATCTTAACTCTGCCTTTATGGCTGGCAATTGATGATGGTGGATGCATTCGATGATGGTGGATGCATTCCTGCAAAGGCTAAGGTTAAGATGGTAGTGTCTGAGAAACATCTTCAGGATGACTTTTTCCTCCGGTTCAATTACTGGGTTGCAATGAAATAATCCACATGCTATTAAATCACAGATCATTTTATAAGAAACCTAAAAAAGGCTCTTAGAAATTTTTTATTTGGGCTATTTCACAGGTACAACAATGCAAAGATGGGTCCTGAATGGCTAATATCTATATGTTCTGTTCCTTTTAAGTGTGGGGATTATAACTGTCTAATCTGTAAGAAAAACCAGTGAGGCAGAGCTCTGAATCAATGGCACTTTATTAAAGGGTCATTGATCCCCTCTAATGAAGCATATTTCAGATCCTTCTCAATTTTTGAGATGCCTTGGTCCCCAGGACCTTGTTTTTATAGGGTTTGATACCCAATAGGCATGGTAAAATACAGAATCTCATTGGTTGATAGATCTTGCTTTTGAGGGCCAAAAATGATATATCAGTTTTGGGGGGAATGGGGGATGGGATGGTCACAGGTTGGGTGAAGCATGGGGCATCTCCACTAAGTTATCATAAGATGGTCACCTGCTCATGTTGGACAAGACAGAGTGGTCTGGAAGTACAAAAATAAGTTAGGGGACTTTCCAAAGAATCAAGGCATCCCGCCCATGTTGGGTTTGGACATGGAATTTGAGCAAAACAAGATGGAGATATCTTTGTCAGCATTCTTATGGCTGTACAAGTGAGCCTCATAACTTGATAAACAAGTATATTAAAGTTTTAGGCCCATTATAAAGGCCTACTATAAAAACCTATCTTATCTAATTATCCCCATATGATTTATGTAAAATATCAAACTGATTAATACTGATCGGAATAGAGTAGGGGACCAAATGAATTATTTTTCACATAGGCATTTTCAACATGTGAGTCTTTCAGAAGATACTGTCACAACAGTGTTCATTTAACTATTTACTGTATTATATTTCAACCTATAATACTAAAAACCACAATCAACAGATGTCCTAGAGAATCTTGAAAATGAGCTGCCTGATAATAGACTGTGCTATGAAATAATCTCCTAACTCTTCCTTGGGTGAGATAGATGATATTTTACTTCAACCGACAGAATAGGAATGTAAGAATTTTCAGCTTCATTATGCTTACATGATGTGAATACACATATCTGGCAGTTTTGTCTTAAAAATACACAGCCTCTCACTAAGTTTAAGCAGGAGAATGAGATTGTATAACACATTATATGAGGTCATATATTTATCTCCTTCACAATATGAAGAGAAAACTGTAAAAAGCAAAAACAGACCACTTCAATACAAGTCACAGGTAATTTCCATTCAAACAAAATATAAACCAATTTTAAGGAAAAGAAGACACTTTACAAAACATAAGTTATACTTTAATATTTCAATAACAAATAGCTCAAGTGAACTGTAACTGTCTGGCAAACACAAAATATTTTGACCTTACATTTTTAATTTTCTTTAAAAACCTTTTATTTTTCTCCTAGAAATATACATCAAATGCATGATACATCAGAAAAAAAATCATTAGCAATAAGAACAAGAGGAAATGTAAAGAATTATTAATACTCAGTGGGTATTTTTAAGATTTTTACTACGGAAGCAAATAGCAAATTCCCTACACAATTACGACAGTAAGTTTGTTGCATATTCTAGTGTCAACATTTAGATTTAATCCTTCATCTTTCCTCCCTCCATCCTTACTTAGTTTGCACTTCTATGATGGACTTACATATTTTGCATTATAGTCATGTGTCTTCCACTAAAGTCCTATTCCAATGCCTCATGTTGTGGAGGTGACCTTATGTTCTACCAATGGAGCACAAACTCTGGCAGCTTCTACCAAGCTGAAAAAGTTCCAATTATGAGTCCAGTTACTGATAGCATGTCAGAGAGGCTCATCACCAGAAGGCATGGTGAAGATCAAATGATAAATACCTATCATAACTACTCATGAAGGCCATCAGCTGAGGTTTAGAAGGGTGGCAATTTGCACTGGGGACAAGAGGTACCTACTCTGATGGAATCACTGATCCTTTAAATGTTACTTTGTGGCACAAAGCCTGCATGCAAATTTCATGAAGGAAGAGATTGTTTAAATTGCTTGTGTCCTAGCAGCCTGGATAGTGCTGTACAAAATAAATGCTAAATAAATCTTGGTTGAATTGAACTGAAATTATGTGAAAAACATCAATTAACACTAAGTGGTGAAAGAGTGTAATGAGGAAAAGAAAATAAAAACAATACAAAATATAAATGGAGACTGGACCTTGGTTTTTATTGTCTGTTTGCTTTTTTGGCCTATTTAATTTTACTAGCAGGAGATCGAGAAACTAATCTAATTTGGATTATGAAAACAAATCTTATCAACTAGTTTCCTCAGACTGTAGTTACATCTGGTAATTGTAACATAATTTTTTTTATTGCTTCACAGAGTAGCAATGCAAATTGACAGATATTTTATTCTTCTTTCTCTCAACCAACATTCCAAGAAGAAAGTAAAGCTATTCTCTAATACATCAATCCATATGCTTTTATACACATACATACACACATGTATATGTATGTGTGTGTGTGTGTAGTAAATGTTATCATATCTTTTATAACGAGTTACTGCATTACCAGAGAGTAGTAACATCCTGATAACATTAAAAAAAATGCTATTAAGTGTATTCTGGAGCTGCAACAAAAGGTTTGTAAAGTCTGATAAATTAAAATCTCTGAACCATAATCAGGAAATACTCAAAAACGTAGACTCCTATACCCTAGTCTCCTTAATTAATAATCACTCTTTTACTTCAAGATATTCCACTGCTGTCGACTGCAACACAGGCAATTTTAAAAGAAAGCGTTTAACAAAACAAGTTGCTCTTAATATATTCAACTGTAAAATCTCTGCAACGTTTTCTGATTGTTTCATGAATCCTGAGCATTTCAGAATGTCATTAAATTCAAAGAGCTAACAGAAATTATCTTCTATTTCTTCTGGATGCATTCATGTTCATAAAGGGATCGTCATCATCCTGAAATGACAGACAAGTATTACTGTATTGGAAAGCTGTTCATACTTCTTTTAAGGTAAAGAGGTAGAATAGCTTACAAGGAACAAAGCACCAGGATTCTCATGTTCTTTCCCCTGTACATAACAGTCTCATTCTCCTAGCTCTAAGACTCTCCCCGATCACAGACGAATGAGGCCTTTATTTTCAATTCCTCCTCTCAAAAAAAAATGAATAAGAGGCTATAGCAAGAAACACTCAGATGATAAAATAGCTTTTTATCATTCCTTTAAAAAGACTTTACTTGGTTTTTTTTTTAATCTGAGACCACACAAAGAAGAAGACTTACACAAACATACATAGTGAGAGATTTATAAGGTACATAAACTGCTTTCTAACCATATATGGGCACAAAATGAGTTTTAGGACTTCAAAAGTTTCTCTCTCTTCATATACATATACATACACACACACACACACACACACACACACACACACACATATATGTATGTAATATACACATTTACACACAAGCATATAGGTATGCATACATACTATTTTACATATATATCCATATATGCATACGCCTAAACAGCTATATGTAGTAATATATTAATACTCCACTAGTCAAACTAATCAAAAAGATGATAGGTGTGGATGACTTTGCAATATTGACATATTGCAAAGCCTTTGGGCTTTAAGGATTTATCTGCTCTTTATGTCCTTATATTCAAATAAAGATATAACTGTTCTGGGAATCTACATTCAATAAAATAATTACATTACAGAGAAGACCTAACTCAGGAACTATGATGTTGTCCAGTTTCCTTCTCTTGTGCTCATGTTTAACATCTCTAGAGTTCTTTTCAGCTCTATGATGCCATGATCCATGATCTCCTTGTAACATAATCTAGGCTGGAAATAAAACAGCTAATATCTTCGACTACAGAAAAGCAATAAGCCAGTAAATCTACCCTCCTTAATAACTTCTGGAACAGGGGCATTGCTATGGTATTTTAATTCAAAAGCTTTCCTTTTGGAGCAATACAGTTAAAGCCAAATAAAGATAACACGAGTACTAGACATCATCTAAGTAAGACAATTAAATGACTGTCAATAAACCTAAAAGAAAGATTTTTTTTACATTAGTCCAATGTAGATAACCATACTATAGAAACCTAGAAGTTAATTCAGAATGCATAATATAGCTAAGGGTCACAAAAAGTGGAAATGTAATTATAAAATTCCATAATTCATTATTTCTTTTTCTTTTAATTCAGGCAAATTATTTAAGTAAGACATTGTTCTGAAGTGCTTTCTAGAAAATAAAAGTGTTGGCTAAGTCTGACTCTATGATATTAAATGATTTGGCTCATAAACATACAATATGGATCAGCGAGGGGGATGAATATCTTCATGTAATGTTGGGCCTAGTAAAATCTCGAAAGGCATGTCAATAGAATTAATTTTTTTCAGCTTCAGCAACTAAAAAAGATTGTCTACAAAGGTCTTGATGGGTTGCAATCTGCATTGACAGATAAAATATTCACACTGAAGAAATCATGACTCCTTGAAGGATGAAAATACAAATACTTTCACAGTTACGATTAACAAAAATTGTCTTAAACCAAAACAGAATTAATTTGCTAATTGGTCCTCTCATTCTGTGAACTTTTAAGTAATGGTCAGTTTTCAACTATGACATATACTTACATACAATCTAACCAATAACAATATTATCAATACCACTATATATTTAAAACATAGCATTTTACTAGAGATAGCACTTACTAAACAATTTTATATCTATGATCCCATGTGATCTTTACAGAGGAGGATTTTACAGAAGGCTAAACTGAGGTGAAATGATTTGCCAAAGGCTGCTACACAGGCATCTCTATTGACTAAGTGGTCATAAGATGGTCGTCTGCTCATGATGGACAAGAAAGAGTGGTCCAGAGGTAGAAAAATACATTGGGGGACTTTCCAAAGAATGAGAGATGCTTGGGGCAGCTAGGTGGCGCAGTGGATAGAGCACAGGCCCTAGAATCAGGAGGACCTGAGTTCAAATCCAGACTCAGACCAGACAGCTGACACTAACTAGCTGTGTGACTCTATGCAAGTCACTTAACCCCAATTGCCTCGCAAAAAAAAAAGAAAGACAGACAGTGAGAGAGACACAGAGAGAGAAATGCTGATTACCCTATCTGATTAAAATCAGAGGGCACACCATCATAGGATCTAAAGATAAGTACCCAAGACAAAAGGGGCAAGAAAAACACAGACTGGTGCCAACTAAACATGCTCAAATATACTAATGAAAAAAACTGGGGACTCAGTCATAGGCTAGAAGTAAATGTGAACCCAAGCTGCTTCCATTCTCTTCTCTTTTACTTCCATTAAGTCCCACCTAAAATCTCACCTCTACAAGAAGCTTTTCTGGATCTCCTGCACTGCAGGTGTCTTCCTTTTGTGACTGTCTCCAACAGATCCTGTATGTATCTGGTTTGTACATCGTTATTTACATACTGTCTACTCCACTGCACTGTCAGTTTCTTTAGAGCAAGGGCTGTTTTCTGACTTTCTTTGTATGCCCAGCACAGTGCCTGGCACATAACAGGCATTTAACCAATGCTCACTAACATGACTATCCTCCCACACAGCAGGTAATTCTTCTCTGAGGTCCTTGTTCAAACTTTCTCTCCACCATCCCTACTCTTCTTATTCACTATGAGCTTATTCATATTCACAAATGAGCCAAAAAGAGGGAGAGAGGGAAAGACAGAGAGAAGGAAGGAAGGAAGGAAGGAAGGAAGGAAGGAAGGAAGGAAGGAAGAAAGGAAGGAAGAAAGGAAGTTACTCATATACTTTAAACACACACAAACATCATGAATAATGTCAGTAGAATAAAAGATTTATTTGGTGATTTCTTTTAGTAAAGATTACAGAAATGTATTTGGAATTTGTTAATTGTACAAACAGAATCAAAGCTGTAACAACAATGGTAACTTACCTCATCTGATTCAAAATCAACTCCTTTAGCTGTCTGGCTCTGGGAACTTTTTCTGCTAGATGTAATGCTTGAGAACCTTAAACATTAGAAGAGATGGAATTCATCAAGAGAATTCCTTGAAGAATTTTGCAAAACAGTTTAGTACTTATATTATATTCTTATTAACTTATATGCTATGGGTGGGTGGGGACAGGAGAACATGAACACATATAAAATTAAGCAGAATAAATATAAAGTAATGAGAACGGGGGAACTAACAGTTAAGGGATCAAGAAAGGACTCAAGGAAGTGGCATTTGAGCTGGGCTTTAAAAGTAACTGAGGAATGGACCTAGGATAAGAAAACCAAGTGGGAAAAAAATCTTTGTATCAAATTTCTCTGATAGAGGCTTGGTATTCAAGATATAAAAACAATAAAGAAATAATTTTTATAAATAATGTGTAACACTGATAGTCATTCCCCAACAAGTCATCAAAAGATATGAACAAACAGTTCTCAAAAGAATTGCAGAGTATTCACAACCACATGAAAACAAGCTCCAAATCATAACAATAAATGCAAAATTAAAACAACCTGCAAACTGGCAAGAATGACAAAAAAAAATGGCAACATTCAATTCTGGAGGGGTTGCTCTTGTAAGGCATACTTAAAGAAGATCACATCTTCATCCAACACATAACTGACTGAAAGATGCAGAGAATAAAAGAACCCACTGTGCCTATTGTCTGTTGAGTATAAAAAATATTTGATTCAGTACAGCAAAACACTGCCTTAAAGGCTCTCCTTCAACATAAGGTAACTTCTATGCACATGTCAAGATTCTGCAACAGATTTAACAACAGAGATAAAATATTATCCAGTGGCCCTCTGAATCTTTAATATCAAGCAAAACAACAACTAGAAAGAAGTACGCTCTCAAAAGGTGTACGCCACTGTCATAGAGATCTGGTCACTAATCATGAAACGGCAGAAATATTTCTTTATAGTCAGTGAGGTCCTTCAGATGCTCCTGTCTGCAGACGACATTAGCCTAAACGAATTGTGCTGCACTGGAAGATAGCAGAGACTCCTAAATGAGTTCCATAATCACTTAAAGGAATCTGACCTTATGATCTACACAAGAAAAACCAAATGGATAAAGAATGCTTGTTGTCCAATCAACAATATGTAATTTTGTAAGCAACTTATAGAACTGGCCATAAGTATATTTCTTGAATAAACACAGCAATTAGATAAATGAGCTGGTCTCAGAATTGAACAGGAGAAGGTAAGTGAGCTAGACTAACTTTTGGAAACTCTAAATTTACTTTAATAATCTCAGACTTTTCCATGAAATAAAATTCCATATTTTTAATACCAGCATTTTTCTGGTGATGCTATATGCCTATTAACCATGGGACACTACAATCTCTGAAAATGTGTAATTGCCAAAAAGAAACAGAGAGGCACATGGTAGGCACAAGCAGGTTGCAACACAATATAAAAGAGAAGCATTATAAAAAATGTTCTCAAAGAAATATAAAAATAAAAAAATGAGCTGCTCACAAGGTGAAAGTTAGGCATAAACAATTGACAAATATCATATTCCACTGATGACCTTACAATGTTAGGGGAACTTGAGAAAGACTCCCAATACACTGGTTAGATTCACTGTAATGAATTTAATAGAGGATACAGATATAGAGAATGAGCAGGCATGAATAGGTTGCAATCTGCATCACTGGAAGGAATATCAACATGGATGTCATTACAGAGCCTTTAAAGTATATTGAAGTAAAAGTAGTCAGTACAATTCCCTTCATCTATGATTGTTGATTAAATACCACACTTAATTAAATTAAACAAATATTAATTAAATTCATAACATAAAAGGTACTCTGAGTTCTGGGAACACAAAGGTGTGTGGTCGGTGGGGGCTGATCAAAAAAAGTTTCATGGAGGGGGTGACAGAAGCCACATGAGCCATGAAGGAAGAAAGAATTTCAATAGGCACAAAGTAGAGAGAGATTATCACACACAAGGGATATAACTTTTGGAAATGTTATAGAGGCAGGGGAGTGTAAGACAAGATTAGGAAACAGTGTTCTACTTTGAAAGGAATGTAGAGAAGGGAAAGTAATACAAAATAAAGCTGGAGAGGTAAGTTGGAGTGGAGTGGTTTAAGTGACTTGGCTAAAGATACATAGGCAATGAGAAGCTACTGAATATTTCTGAGTAAGGTAGTGATGTAGCCAAACCCGTGTGCATTAGGAAGATTATCCTGATGTCTAGTAAAAGATGGACTGGGAAAAAGACAAACCTTAAGCAAGGAGACATTATTACTATTGCCCAGGGGAAAGAAAAATAAAAACCTGAACTAGGATGGTAGCAATTTAATGGAAAAGGGAAAGGGCAGATGCAGGAGAGAGATGAGAGGTAAAATCAGCAGCACCTGGCATCTCCTACCACCATGCCTTTGCACAAGTGGTTCCCCATGTGTAGAAAACACTACGTCTTCATCTCTGTGTCTCACAGAATCCTAGCTCTCTTCAAGGTATAGCTCAAGTGTCTACCACCGGGCCTGCATTCAATGCTTTTCCAGATCCCAGGGTTACGTCTTCATGTCATGGTGGGGCACTGGAGCAAGAGTTTATTATAGACTTAGTTCCTTTACTCAATAACCAATGAAATGACATTAGAATCTATTTTTACTATTTATGTCTCTATATGATATGGTTAAAATAATCTAAGTATCAACAGCCTCTCTATGGCAGAAAAAAAATACAGATGAAAGTTTCTTGTGTGTGTATATGTGTGCGCGCACATGCGTGTGTGCGTGCGTGTGTGTGTGTGTGTGTGTGTGTGTGTGTGTGTGTGTGTTTAGGTTTTCAAATGTCTCATTCAAAAATGTCATAGCACTTACTTTTTATCTACTTTGGAAGTAGTGGGGAAAAAGTCATCTTCCATGTCAGAATCATCATCTTCAATAACCTGAAGGAAAGAAACATCAAAGACTCTCTCATAAAACTAGTTTGCTTGAATAAAAACTAACTATATTACTGAATTTTAGATTTTTTTCTAAACAAAAACATATTGCTTGTGAGCAAATCCTAGAGAGGTATCATGTCAGTAGCATGATGCTCATAAGAACTATCTCACTTCTGATCCTCCTCCAATGCTATTCTGCAATAAAAAGAAAAAATAGTCATCCACACTACTTCCCTCCCTGACCTAAAACAGGTCACCTACACCACCTAGGTAAAAAAATAACTAAAAATATTCGTTGGAGTGTGCAGGTGTTCACCCTATATGCTACTTTCTTGGGAGTTTGCCAATTAATCAATGAGTAATCCCCAAACTAATAACTGAAAGTAAGATACAAAATTCCTTCCTGTCTGAAGTCCAGACCTGTGATATTTCATCAATGTGGAGAACTCTCAATATGGAAACTCCCTCTACCAGTGCAACTTATAGGAGTTGCCTGGGGGTAGTGGGAGGCTGAGACTTACTCAGAGCCAAACAGTCAGTATAGCAAAGGCAAAACTTTAACCTACATCTTACTAACTCCAAGGCTGGTTCTCTTCAATTAACCTGGCAGACTCTTTAGATCCTATCTTTAGAAGGAGGAACTGTGACCAACTACTGCCAATAGTTAAAACTTGGTGCTAATGAGTTTTGGTTTCTATAAGGGCTTGTCAGCTTTGCTAACAGATGGCTACAGACTGCATCTTAACCCTGGCCAACAGGAGGCAGCTTGGTACAGTAGACAAAGGAAGACTTAGAGTAAGAATCATTCAATCAGTACTTAGAACAGGAAGGTTCCATGTAACCTCTTAATTTTAGAGATCATACAAGGACATATGGTAAGTCTAAGAGCCAAGACCAACGACTAGTTCTTCTAAATCCCAATCTCGGATTATTCCATTATATAAACACAAGCCCCTAGTTCAAGTCCAGTTCTGCCACTTACTAGCTTGTATGACTAGGAGCAAAATGCTTAACCTCTTCTGAGTTACTATTCCTTTATCTGTAAAATATTTAACACTATTTACTTTAGAGGGCTGCTTGAGGATTTATTCTGTAAATGTAATGTATTATATAAACCTAAGCTACTGTTATTACTATTTCACAAATAAATGCTATTGACTATAAAGGAGACAGGCTGAAAGTATAAGTTGGGTAGTGCAGTATAAATCCATTACCATGACAGAAATGTAATTTAAAAATCCTCTCAGTATAGAACACATTTGTACAAGGTAATCAGGGTCCCCACTATAAAATAAAAATTCTCTTCTAATGAAATATTCCAAGTTCCCATAATATACCCTCATTGGTCCAGCTTGTCTATGCTGAGTTTTATACTTTATAAGGGGAAGGATCACCACATATTTACTTTGCACTAAATGCACAGAATATAAACAATACACATAAAGACAAAATACATGTTACTTAATAGTTACCAAACAGGTAATATGGAAAGCACAAGATGCCATATTTTTGTTATGTAGTCTTTGTTACTTTTTAATCTACTCGCAGAGCTCAGATTTAGTACATCACAATGTTGAGTACATAAATTGCATAAGTAAAAAAGCAACATTTCTTACCTCTGAGTAATTCTTAGTTGTGGCACTACGGGTGGGTTGTTGTGCAGATTTAAAGGCTAAAATAAAAAAGATGAAACACAAAATGTATATTTTTTCTTAAAATAACAGTTTGCATATTTTATGCTTGGTGATTTTCCAAGCCTTGTTTGCAAGTATCCATTATGAATAATTTCAAAACCATTTGTATCTGAATCTGTCTTTTAATCTGAAGAGTTGAGTCCCTAGCTGATGTTCTCGAGTAAAATTAAGCCACAGTTTATTCAGATATAATTGTAGCAGTTTTTATGAATTGTTCTATCCTGTAATTGTAACACACTTAAAACTGAACTTGAACATCTAATAAAGGTGTTAACTAGAAAAACCATGAAATATTCTGCTAGAGAAACCTAAAAACAGGCTTGGTACAGGCGTTTCTATCCATCTTCTTAGCTCAACAGAAGCAGCACAGATGTTGCCAGCCTCTATATTTCTCTCTTCATCAAATTAACACTGATTTTTCTGGAAAATATTGAAAAATATGGCCCAACAGAAAATGTCTTCTTTTGATACATATTATGACCTAGAATGCTCCAGTGGCTGCTTATTGCCTCTACGATAAAATATAAACTCCTCTGGCTTTTAAAGCCTTCACCACCTGGCTCCCACCTAGCCTCATTATACATTATTCCACTTCCAAATCACTAATAACAACAAACACAAATTAAACAACTCTGAGATTTCAATCCATATCAATCAAATTGGAAAAGATGATAAAGACAAAACTAACCAGTACTAGAGAGGCTATGAGAAAATAGGCCCTGATAAAATTTTGTTTTGCTTTAGAATAAAATTGTATTGGTTCCTTTTATTTTTATACCATGGTTATACCTCTAAATTATCTGCCACTGCCCCAAAATGAATCCTGCCTTGTAATAGAAAAATGCACTAAAACACTACTGGTAAAGCTGTGGATTGGTCCAACTGTCCCAGAAAACAATGTGAAATTATGCAAAAGAATTTAATAAACTGTTCTTACCTTTTGACCATATAATGATCTCACTTAGGAAATTAATGATAGAAAAAAGATCTTATATATACAAAACCATGCTTTGCAGTAACAAAAAATGGAAGTAAAGCAAATGCCCACTGACTAAAGCATGGCTGAACAAACTGTAACATATAAATGTAACAGAATATTATTGCACTGTAAAAAATGATAAATATGAGGAATTTGGAAAAACACATGAGAAGATTTAGCAGAACCAAGAGAACAAGATACATAATAACTACAATAATGCAAATATAAGCCAGCAGAATCCAAATTAAATGCAATGAACAATCCTGGTACCAGTGTACACATAACAAAATACAATTCCCTTTTCTTGGTGGATAGATGGTAATTAGAGATAATGAATGTTCAACATTATTATGTCAGTGGCTTTCCCCTCTCTTTTATCCAAGAAAAAGTTAAGAAGTTTTGGAGAATATACTGGGGAGTGAATATTATTTTTAAAAAGAGTCTTTTTAAAAAATTTATAGCACATATCTAATTACATTGTTAGTATCTCTATCTTTGTCTCTTCTCAAAGACTTGCTAATCTCATTACATATTGGTCTAAATAAAAGATCAAATTTATTCATGATACACTTTGAAAGCTTGAGGATAAAGGCTAGTTTAAAATTCTGGAACTAGAAAAATACAAAATTTTCCCTAAGGAAGCAGAGTAAGTGTTGGAGAATATTTTTTTTACCATCTTTCTACCTTACAGTGTTATTTCACTAACTTAAACATATAGTAGTACAGTGGAAAGAGTCCTGGATTTAGAGTCCAGGAACCTGGGTTTAAACCTGACTCTGTCCTTATAACTTTGAATAGTGAGCTGTGGGAACTGAATGAACTAGCCCAACTGTTCTGGAAAACAATTTGGAATTATGCAAGAAAAGTCTTTTCATACACAGTAATCCCACTACTGGGGCCAGCTAGGTGGCACAGTGGCTAAAGTGCCTGTCCTGGAGTAAGAAAGACTTGAATTCAAATTCAGCCTCAGACACTAGTTGTGTGACCCTGGGCAAGTCACTTAATCCTGTTTGCCTTAGTTTCCTCATCTATAAAGGAGAAGGAAATGGCAAACCACTCCAGTATCTTTGCCAAGAAAACCCCAAAACGGGTCATGAAGAGTCAGACACGGGGGTGGAGCCAAGATGCTGGAGTAAAAGCAGTAACTTGCTTGAGCTCTCCCCCAAATCCTTACAAATGCCTATAAAAAAATGGCTGTAAACAAATTCTAGAGCAGCAAAACCCACAAAAAGACAGAGGGAAACAAATTTCCAGCTCAAAACAACCTGGATGGTTGATAGTAAAGGTCTGCTGTGCCAGATGTGAGATGAGCGCAGTTCAGCATGGGCCCTGCAGGCAAAGACCAGGCCTCAGTGAACCTGGAACAGACCCCAGGGGACTGAATCACAGGAAGCTGTGGCATGTTCGAGACTTCTCAACCCACAAACGCCAAAGGCATCTTAGAAGGTCAGTAGGAAAGGTCTGTTGGAGTTGGATGAGACAGGAGAGAAGTCTGGCTCTAGCCCTGGCACAGCCCCAGGGCTACAGCTGCTTCCGGAGCTGTTAGCCCACAGATGATGTGGGGATCAAGCAGCTGATCAGAAGGGGATTGCAGGGATCTCTTTGCTGGCACTGAGGCAGGATTTTCTTGCTTTGCCCCTGCTTATATCTTGGTCCAGTCCTGGGTGGCAGTCTTGGGGTGAAAAGGAATGCTGGCATGGCAGAGCTTGTGGCAACAGTGCAGAAGGAATCCTCCTCACAGTTCCAAAGTAGAAAAGAGTGCTTGTGGTCACTCATAGACCAGAGCACAGGCCAGGAAAGGAGTAAACACCCTGCCTTTGATCATACCACCTTGGAAGAACTGAAACCTTACAGGTCCCTAGAAGTATCTCTGAAAACAGCTGCACAAAATCCCTAAAGCTTGGGACAGCACACCTTCCACACTGGAAGCAGACCCCTACCTTAAAAAAGAGTTTAAAGTCAAGTAACTGACTAGAAACATGAACAAACAGCATAAAAAAACTCAGACTACAGAATCTTATTTGGGTGACAAAAAAGATCAAAACATACAACCAGAAGAAGAAAACAAAGTTAAAGCTCCTACATCCAAAGCCTCCAAAAGTATGAATTGGTCTCAGGCCATGGAAGAGCTGAAAAAGGATTCTGAAAAGCAAGTAAGAGAAGTAGAGGAAAAATTGGAAAGAGAAATGAGAATGATGCAAGAAAATCACAAAAAACGAGTCAACAGCTTGTTAAAAGAGGCCCAAAAAATACTGAAGAAAATAACACCTTAAAAAATTGACTAACCCAAATGGCAAAAGAGGTCCAAAAAGCCAACAAGGAGAAGAATGCCTTAAAAAGCAGAACTGGCCAAATAGAAAAGAAGGTCCAAAAGCTCACTAAGGAAAATAATTCCTTAACAACTAAAATGGAGCAAATGGAAGTTAATGACTCTATGAGAAATCAAGAAATTATAAAACAAAACCAAAAGAATGAAAAAATAGAAGACAATGTGAAGTATCTTATTGGAAAAACAACTGATGTGCAAAATAGATCCAGGAGAGATAATTTAAAAATTACTGCAGTTCCTGAAAGCCATGATCAAAAAAAGAGCCTAGACATCATCTTTCAAGAAATTATCAAGGAAAACTGCCCTGATAGTCTAGAACCAGAGGGTAAAATAGAAATGGAAAGAATACACTGATCACCTCCTGAAAGAGATCCCAAAAGGAAAACTCCTAGGAATATATCCAAATTCCAGACTTCTCAGGTCAAGGAGAAAATGTTGCAAGCAGTCAGAAAGAAACAATTCAAGTATTGTGGAAACACAATCAGGATAACACAAGATTTAGCAGCTTCTACAGTAGGGGACTGGAGGGCTTGGAATATGATATTCTGGAGGTCAAAGGAGCTAGGGTTAAAACCAAGAATCACCCACCCAGCAAAGCTGAGTATAATCCTTCAGAGGAAAAAATTTATATTCAATGTAATAGAGGACTTTCAAGTATTCTTGATGAAAGACCAAAGCTGAATAGAAAATCTGACTTCCAAATACAAGACTCAAGAAAAGCATGAAAAGGTAAACAGGACGTAGAAATCATAAGGGACTTATTAAAGTTGAACTGTTTACATTCCTACATGGGGAGAAAATCAGATACAACTGAAACAACTCAATAATCCCACTACTGAGCTATCAACAAGACCATCAAAAAGGTGAAAGACAAAAATATCCTATATTTGTCAAAATATTCAAAGTTATGTTTTTTGTTGTTGTAACAAAACAAGAAGAATGGCCCATCAATTAGGAAATGGCTGAACAAATTGTGGTAGAGGAATGTAATGAATTATTGTATCATAAGAAGCAATAAATATAAGGAATTCAGAGAAACACGGAAGACTTCAGGCAATGCAAAGTAAGCAGAACTAGGCAAATAATATACTCAATTACTAGAACAATACAAATAAAAACAATACTAAAAGGCAGCCAAAAACTCTTGATTAACTGTAATGATTAATTTCCTATCCCTAAGAACTGAAGCTATGCCATACCTGCCTATTCTCAGTAAAGAGGTGAGGAATGAAGGACAGGGAATATACCATCAGACATGAGTATGTTGTACAAGAGATCATTTTTCAGGTATCGGTTGTAGTAGGTGGCCAGAAAAGCACTTTCTAAATCTTAAATTCTGTGAAAGTAGTGCTTAATCCACATATACATACGACACACACACACACACACACACACACACACACACACACACACACACACTTGTACAAACAATTTTTATGGCGGCAACCAACAGGAAAATTAGGGGATGCCTATCAATTGGGGAATCTGTTAACAAAATATATTATATGATTAGAACGGAATATTACTAGGCTGTAAGAAATAACAAAATGGACAGTTTCAGAGAAATATGGGAAGACTTGTAGGTACTGATGAAGAATGAAGTGAGCAGAACCAGGAAAACAACTTACACTAAAACAACAACAATGTAAAAATGAATGACTTTGAAAGACTTAGGAACTCTGATCAATATAATGACCAATCATGACTACAGAGCAGTGATGATGAAAAATGCTACCAACTCCTTTAAAAGATAGGTAATAGACTAAATATGCAATATATTTTTGCACATAGTTAATGTAAGGTTTTTGGTTTGACTACTGAATATTTGGTTTGTTTGTTTTTTTTTCCTGGCTAGGCAATGGTTGGTTAAGTGACTTGCCCAGGGTCACACAGCTAGTAAGCGTTATGTGTCTGAGGCCGAATTTGAACTCAGGTCCTCCTGAATCCAAGGCCAGTGCTCTATCCACTGTGCCACCTAGCTGCCCCCGACTACTGAATATTTGTTACAAGATTTTTGTTTTTCTTTTTTTTTCCCCTCAGTGGGAGAGGGGTATATGGGAGGATGAAAAAATAAATATTTGTTAATTGAAAAAAAATGTAATTTAAAAAAAAAGAGCTGCCTTAAAATCATTTTCTAGCAGTTTCATATAAGTATGATGTGCTCCTAAACCTAAATCAAAAGCCAATCTTCTCCTTCTTTTGACAAAGGCAAAAAAGCAAAGGCAGCAAAAGAGAGGCAGAGAAGAAAGAACAAAGTAGTTTGGAAAAAAGAAAGGAAAATGGTACAAGTGTGATTCTGCATCACTAACACAATGAACCACTTCCATGAAAATGCAAGACAATTTGTTCCTGAATTTTCTCTCTCCTTTCCACAGTATTCTATAAGGACACTTCTTTTTGCTTGCTAATTCACTATCCTCTTCATGGTAGCTTCAACAGAAAGACAGCAATTTACTAACAATTTCTTTATTTGACCCATACCACTTCTTCCTCACTTAGAACACATATTTCAGAAGATGTGCTTTTAAAGTAGGGTTATCCTTTGCTTAAGGCAAGAGTGCACTTAGTGCACCACAATTATAATTACAAAAAGATTTAAAATTCACTGAATTTCATTCTGAAATGAACTCTTATCTAATTAAAACACATTTTTCAAAGAGCCATCATCCAATATCAGAGAGAATAAGTTAAATTATCAATACCACCAAATTTAATCATATGGATAAAAAGGAAAAGACAAAAGCATACTGGTATTTCCAATTTAAACTACAAATTAATGAAACATTAATTTTCATAATTACTGCAAACACTATCAATAAACCTAAAACTCAATGAAGATCAAATTCCATATTAAGTTGCTTTAGCTACTTCAGTGACCATCTAGTCCACATATAAAAAAAGATCCTCACTACAACACAGCAAATAAATTGTCATCAGACTCTTCCCAAAAGAATGTCATCTCTCTTTTTAATGATTAGCTGTGCCAATTTGTGACACTTTTTGTGACAATGTAATTAGTCTCTTGGCTCTGTATATCCTCTATGAAAAATACAAGCTTTGTTTACGTTATAACTTGGTGACATGGCAGTATTCACTGAGGAGTTTCTCTGAAAATCTCATTGGCATACTAGTCAGATTCTGAAATGATTCAACAACAGAATGTGAGCAATACTGTTAATATCTTAAAAGGAACAAAATACAGGTCCCTTCTCTTTCCAGGCATAAAGGGAAAATTGCAAACATAAAAATCAGAGATCATGTAGGGTTATGTTCATTTTAAGAATTAGAAAACTGATGTCCAGATAAGTTAAATGATTTGACCAAGGTCACACAAATGAGTTAGTGGCAGAATTGGGATTAGAATCTGGGTCACCTAATTCCTAATGTAATTCTCCATGGATGAGTTTCCAAATCCAGAAAACACCAAGCATTACCAGTAATGTTAAATGCAAATACATTTTCACCTGGTGTTAAAAATGCCAATCTATCTTACTGATTTATATTTTAATTAGGCTGGTCAAATTAATTCCATCAAATGAACTTCATGTTGCATAGAATCTTTGATAACAATGCTATACTATTTATTCAGTCTGACAGCAAATCACAATCACAGAATTTCATAATTGGAAGGGACTGCAGTGACCATCTAGTCCACATATAAAAAAAGATCCTCACTACAACACAGCAAATAAATTGTCATCCAGACTCTCTCCTTGAAGACCTCTTATGAAAGGGAACCCACTACCTCCTGAGGCAGCTCATCATATTTTTGGATAGTTCTAATTGTTATGGTTGTTTTTTTTCCTGATATCAAATCTTAAAGTAGAGTTGATACTAGGAAAAACTTCATTTTCATATACAAAGTGTGAGAGGGAAATCAAAATATAAGATATGATTCCTGACTTCAAGGAGCTCACAATCTACTTGGGAAGACAAGGCACATAACATAGGCACTTTCAGTAATGGTTATAAATTATAATGAGCCATTAACACTAACTTGTCCAGTGCCCTCTATACCCCTAAAATTTTTTACTATACCAATTAGCTGCCAGTCCTCATGCAAGTCATATAATCTCGCTGAAATTCAGTTTCCTCATCCGTAAAATGGGACAAACAACACCATTATAATCGACTGGTTTGGACCTTACTGAATAAGTGCAATAACCTGAACACATCTGTCTATATGCTTATTTGATGCACTGTATGTTAAGGTAAGGCTCTGTGAGTTGTATGACTGTATGATACTTACAATTAGATATATAAAAAAACAACTAAGAATACAAAGAAAATAACTATAGCAGAGATAGACAACTTATAGCACCCATGCCTACCCATATATTTATTACAGGATTATAGAATTTAGAGCTTAAAGACAGGTTAGAGATCATTTAGTCCAATTCCTTCCTTTTATAGTTAAGGAAACACAAGCCCAGGGAGTGGAAGTAGATTGCTCAGGTAAAGAATTAGCAGAGTACAGATTCAAATGCAGGTGCTTTGCCTCCAGATCCTAACCTTGCCTTTGTGTACCTCTATTCACTATCCACTCCTCAGCCTTCTGTTTTATTTTTCCTTTCTTTTCTTATTTCTCCTTGAAAAGACAATTCTGAGGCTTGCCAGTGACATGGAATGGTTTCTCAAATGATTGCTCAACTACAACCATTCTCTCGAGAGTCACCAATGACCTGTTGATTGCCAATCCTCATCCTCCTTGATCTCTATAGCATCTAAATCTAACAATGCTGACTACATCCTCCTGGATATTTTCTTCTCTCCAGTTTTTGTAACACTAATCTCTCTTGGTTCTCTTCCTCCTTGTCTGCCACTCCTCAGTCTCCTGATCTGGATTATCATCCTTTTCATAGCCCCTAACTTAGGTATACACCCAGGGCCTTATTTTTGCTCTCTATGCCCACTTGGTGACCTCCTTAGTTTCCACGGATTTAATTACTGTTTCTATGCACGTGCTTCTCAAACTTGAAGAAGCAGCAGTTAGGTGGCATGGTACATAAAGTTCTGGACCTGAAGTCAGGAAGCCCTGAGCTCAGATACAGCTTCAGACATTTACTAGTTGTGTGACCCTAGGCAAGACACTTAACCTCTGTTTGCCTCAGTTTCCTTGTAGAATTGATACAAATACTTTGTTATTTTGTCCTATAGTCCTCTTCCTCTCTTGTGAGGTGAGAAACGTATATTGTAAACATACATATTGTTAGATATTATTACCATAACAGTTATTTTTGCTAAATCACAAGGAATAGTTCAATTATAGTGAAATGACTGTGATAGAAAGACAAAATAAAACATACTTTTAAGTAATATATTTTTAAAATAAAAGCATATCTTCTAGTGTCTAGTGACATTAAATGCCAATGGGTCATGCAATACTACAGTTTGTGAAACACTGACAGAGAGGCACACGGTTGGTATAAGCAGGCTGCAACATAAGTAGAAATATAGAATTATGGAGAAGAAAAGGTATGAAGAATGTCATCAAAAAACAATAAAATTGGAGGGAAAAGAGAAGACTAGTCACATAATAAGAGCAAAAGACAACCATAGAGAGTCCTCATGTTCCAATATCTCAGCATTGCCTAAAAAACCCAAGAAAGGCTATGAATATATGTTTTGTTTTTTTTCTAATAGGGATCTCTAGTTTGTCTCCCCTTGATCACCAGCCAATTAACAGATAAACATTTATATTTTATACATACCATCAATGATAGACATGTTTTTTGCTGGTGAAGATAAAAAGGCTTTAGAACCCCGGCTTCTAACAAATATCTCCTGAGTGCTCCCTGTAAGAAAAAGCACAGTTAATATTCAGTACTCTATGCTTCTCAGGTTTTCTAGTTGTGAAATAGCAAAATTAGGTTCAGACAAAAGTATAGAGAAGAGAAAGGAAATGTTACTTGTACAGAAAAGCACAAAGGCCATATTATGTAATATGGGAAGCCGTTGCTATTATTGTGGCATTTCAGTTGTATCTGACTCTTCGTGACCCCATATGGGGTTTTCTTGGCAAAGATATTAGAGCAGTTTGTCATTTCCTTCTCCAACTCATTTTACAGAAGAGGAAACTGAGGCAAACAGGGTTAAGTGACTTGCCCAGGGTCACATAGCTAGTAAGTTTCTCAGGTCACATTGAACTAAGGAATCAGGCCCAGAAATCTATCCTCTATACCACCTGGCTGCCCCATTGGAAGTTGAATAATGGGCAATAAGGTTAAAAAAGTAAGTAACAGCCAGACTGTAAAAGGCTACACAGAGCAAAAAACCCAAAAAACAAAAACAAAACAGAGGAGCTAATATGTGACTCTAGAAGCAACAGTGAGTTATTGGAACTTACTGAGTAGGAGAGTACATGACAATCACATCTGCACTTTAAAAAATCACTGGCAGCTTTGTAAAGGAAAGATTAGAAAAAGCAGAGGTTTCCTATCAAGAAGCTATCGAAATGGTCTAGACAAGAGGTAATCAAGGCCTGAAAGAGGATGGTAGCCATTTGAGTAAAGAAAAGGCAATGGAAGGGAAAAGATGATGTGGAAGGAGAATCGTTAAGACTCTGCAACTTATTAAATATGAAGAGTGAGGGGAAAAGATGAGTTGCATATGATTCTGAGATTTTAAACTTGGATTACTAGAAGGATGGCAGCACCCTTGTCAGAAATAGGGAAATACAGAAAAGGCATAGGTTTGGGGAGGAAGCTAAATGCAGTCTCTGAGAACATATCAAATAAGGATTAGTTGAAGAAACTGAGCGATTTTAACATGAAGTAGACTTAGGTATGACACACCAGTTGTCAAGCATTTGAAAGGTATCATGTGACAAAAGAATTATGAGTTGTTCTGCTTTGGCCCAGAGAGAATTAGGAACAATGGGTCAAAATCGTAGAGACACGGTTAGACTTGATGTAAGGAAAAACTTCCTAACAATTATGGTTATCTAAGAGTATAATGGGCTGCTCTTCATCCTCACCATGACTTCCATGCCTTCAACTGCCCAGTTTTTTCCCAAACTGAAAGAAAATCATGAAATTGCACAGACTGGGTCAACTACAAATTCACGTTATATAATCTCAATTAGACCCACATTTACACTTCCCTAATTAACTCACTACCCACTAACCAGAGTAGCCTTTCTAAACCTTTTCATCCCTCATCAAACCTTCCATAGCTTTCCATGTCCCCATGTTCTCAGCTAGGAACCTTGCCTCATATTACACTGAAAAAATGGAGGCCATTTACTGACAGCTTTCTCTTCTTCTCAATTCACACCTCCCTCATAGCTGCCTTTCGCCACTATCTCCTCCTTCACCCCAGAGTCACATAAAGAAGTGGCCCACCTTGCCAAAGTAAAGTGCTCTACCTGAACAAGTGATCTCATTCCACCACTCTCCAGCAGATTTTTGACTTTGTCATCTCTCCTCTCACATATCTTCAATAATCTCTATCTACTGGATGCTTCCCTACAATCGGAAAACATGCCCTTGTTGTTCTCATTACCAGAAAACCTCACTTCATCTATCCATCCTATTAGCTATTGTTCCATATCTCTCCTCCCTTTTGTGGCTAAACTCCTTGAGGAAGCAATATAATCAAAGTCTCCACTTCCCTTCCTCTCTCTTTTTAATTCTTGATAGTTTGGATTCCAACCTCATCATTCAGCCAAAACTGTTCTCTCCAAAGTTACCAATGACCTCTTAATTGCCAAATCTAATGGCCTTTTCTCAATCCTCATCCTTCTTGAGCTCTCTGCAGCCTCTGACACTGTCAATCACTCTTACTATTTAATACCCTCTTCTTGCTAGATTCCATGACACTATTCTATCCTGGTTCTCCTCCTAGCTGTCTGATCTCTCATTTTCAGTCTCCTCTGCAGAATCTTCACGTAGGTCATGCCTACTGTAAGTGTTCCACAGGTGAATGCCATTTTCTCTTCTAGCTCTATACTATCTGATAATCTCATCAGCTCCCATAATTTCAGTTATCATCTCTATGCCAATGATTCTCATATCTTATCAAGTTCTAACCTCTCACTTAAAGTCAAATTCAAATCTCCAACTACCTATTAGACACCTCAAACTGGATGGCCCATAGATATTTAAAGTCATTTTTAAAGTCAAAACTAAACTCTTTATTTTTCTCCTCAATCCCTCCCCACTTCTAAACTTCTTTATTATGGTCAAAGGTACTACCATCCTCCCAGCCACTCAGGTTTACAACCAAGAGGCTTGGAACTCCTCACTCTCTCACTCCCCCATATGCAATCTTTTGCTAAGTCCTGTTGATTTTACTTTTAAAACATTGTTTGCACTTTCTCACTTCTCTCCTCTGACCCTGCCACAACCTTGGTGCAAGCCCTTATCACCTCGTGTTGCACAATTTCAGTAACCTGCTAATTGGTCTCCCTCCTTCAAATCTCTCCCCACTCCAGTCCATCTTTCAGTCAACTGTCAAATTAACCTGCCTAAAGTACAAATATGATCATGTCAAGCCCCAGAGATTAGGGCTGGATAAGTAGTCAATAAACTCCAATGGTTCCCTTTTACCTGCAAGATCAAATATAAAATCCTGTTTGGCATTCAAAGCCTTTTCCAACACCAGTTTTCCTACCTCTTACTCCTATACTTTGTGATCCAGTGACACTGGCCTCCTTGCTTTTCACAGAAGACATGCCATCTTCAAACTGCACATTTTCACTGGCTGTTCCCCAAGTTCTTGCCCCTGTTTATCTTCACGTCCTGGCTTTTCTATCTTCTTTCAAGTCCCAACTAAAATTCCATCTTCTTTGAAAAGCCCTTCCTGATGTCCCTTAATGCTAATGTCTTCCTTCTATTGATTATCTCCAATTTGTTCTGCACATATTTTGTTTACACATAGTGGCTTGCATTTCATCTATCCTATTAGATTGTGGGCTCAAGGGCAGGGACTGTCTCCTGCTTTTCACTGTATCCCCACTGTACCATGCCTGGCACATAGGTGCTTAATAAATCCTAACTGACGGACTGCCTCAAGACAGTGAGCTCCACCTCACTAAAAGTTGAACAAAGATTGTATAACCATTTCTTAGGTGAGTATGGATTCTTTTTTTCAGGCATGGGCTGAACGAAATGGCTTCTGAGGTCCCTTTCAATGCTGAGGTTCTATGAATAGAAGAAATGCTAAGTTTTTTGGTTTGAGGTTTTTTTCCCCCCCTCTCAATAGTAAGGAGATATGGAAATCAGGAAATAAAATTTTATTTGATTATACTTTGTGCAAATGTTCACTCTCAGAGCAAAAAGAAAAAAATCTACAGTAGTCTAATTACCTTCTGAGTTCTCCTTTTCCATGCTAAAGGCCACCATATTTTCTTTCACAATTCATATTAACTTCATTATTATCAAATATATAGTGTACTTAATAACAGAGGGTTGGATTCACAGCTAAATAGTGGCATCATTTTTTCGTTTAAAAAAATTGAAAGGTAACCGGCCCTGAAGTCAGGACGACCTGAGTTCAAATCTGGCCTCAGACCAAACACTTGACACTTACTAGCTGTGTGACCCTGGGCAAGTCACTTAACCCCAATTGCCTTTAAAAAAAAATTGAAAGGTATTTCCCCCAAAACTGTTTTCATACATAATTAATAAGTATTTAGGTTTTCATGAGTTACTTTCTCCTCTCCAACTCTTGCCCTTATGATAGGGGACCTTGATATTCACTTGGATTCTCCCAAACTCTCTAACCACTCAATTTCTCAGCCTCCTTAAATCTATGACCTATTCCCATATTCCACTTCACTTACACATAGGAATGGTAACAAACCAGAATTTCACCATTACCCATAGGTGTTCTACTTCCCTATTTGACTATAACCTCCAATTATTTCACTACTTTCTGTGTCCCATCACTCCTACCTCTACTCTTTGCCTTTACTGAGACCTTAATTCCCCCATCCCTTCGTACTTTCTGAGGCCATTTGTCTGTTCTGACTTCATTTTCCTCCTTCTCTAATTTCAATGTAATAGTTAGCTATTTCAACTCACTTTGTTCTCTGCTCTCTAACTACTTATTCCTTTTTCTATCATCATTCCTCTCCTGCCAAACCTCAGTCTTGGGTGACTCCTCCTTAGCTCTTACTGAACACAGCTAGAGGAAGTTACACAACCATGAAGAACGGGTACACTGTAAATTCACATTATCTAACTTCAACTGGTCCTCTGTGTAGCAAAACAGTCCTTTTATTTCCCTTAACTGATAATCTAACTCACTCCCCACAGAAGCAAAATCAAAACCTTTTCTTCCCTCCTTAAATCTGTCACACTTCTTCCTACCTTCCCTCTCTCAATTGAGGATTTGCTTCTTCAGACTGAGAAAACTGAGGCAAGCCAACATGGGCTCTCTCTTTCCCCATTCTTTTCATTTCAATACCACCGGACATTAGCTCCTGCTCTTTCCCTCATTCAAATCAAATTATCAAGTGAGATAATATTGGTAAAAAAATAAAACATAATAAAAATGCTTAGCACAGTGCCTGGCACATAATAGGTACTACTTACATGCTTATTCCTTCCCCTTCTTTTCTTTCCCTTTTCTCTGAAAATGAGGTGGCTTTTCTCCTAGCCAAAGCCTGCCACTCTATTTGTACACTTCATCCCATTCCACCTACTGCCTTTAAACAAGCCCAAGCCTCTACCAGTTTTAAAAACCTTTACTACTATCCCCTCAAGCTACTGACCCATCTCTTCTAGCTTTCTCAGCTAAACACCTTGAAAAAACTGCCTATACTTGTCTCTACTTCCCAATTATGATAGTTATACCTAGTTTTATAGAGTGCTTTAAGATTTTCAAAGTGCTTTAACAACATGTTTTCTGATCTTCACAACAACCCTTTGGAGTAGGTGTTATTATTATCCCTATTTTATAAATGAGGAAACTGAGGATGAGAGAATAAATGACTTGCTCACAGCTACACAGCTAGAAAGTGTCTCATGCAGGATTTAGAATCAAGTCTCTCTGAATCCAGGTCCAGCACTATATCCACTGAACCACCTACTAGCCTCATTGATACATCTTTTCCTCACTCACTCCGTAACCCTTTGCAACCTGGCTTCTGACCTCATCACACAACTGAAACTGCTCTTCAAAGTTACCAATGATCTCTCAATTGCCAAGCCTGATGGTTTTTTAATCCATCTCGACCTATCACCCCCCTCTCTTCCTAAGCTCACTCCTGACCCTTGGCTTTTCATTTTAGTCTATGAGCAAGCCCTTGTTAGTTAAAATATCCCTTCACAAAAGGTCTATTGCTTTTCTGAATAATTCTTTTGTGAAATTTCTTCTGTATCCTATAAATACTGTTAAAGGTTCAACAAATTTTAAAAGAACTTTATAAAAGATTTTATGTTAATAATAAAGTTCTGAACTCAACTTTATCTATTATAATAATGTATTATATTCCCTACTCTGTCAACAACCACTACCTACTTTGCGAAAAAAAATTATACAAGGTACTAACCTCTTCCTCTGCGAGCACCCCCTCTTGCTGCTGAATTCTGTCCTCTTCCACCTCTTCGACCTCTCCCTCGGCCTCTTCCTTTGTTGGATGTTGCTGAGATACTGCCATCTGAATCATTGGCCATTTGTTCTGCCATATCTATGCTTGCAAGGTCATCAACACTAAATTCTGAAGATAAGTCTTCTGACTGGGCTCTGTGGGCTCTGGCCCTACTCATTGCCTTTGAGAAATGATATAAAGGAGTTACTACTATTCACCATAAAATCCAACAACCTGAAAATACACAGTTGAAATTCACTGGGCTACTCAGATAGGTAATATTATAATTGTACTACCTACAATAAAATTTTAAGCCAAATATTATTTTTTTTGTTCCATATTACCAAGTCAGAAAAGAAAAAAAACAGAGTGAATTTCTTTAATTGGTCTGCTCAATTTTACCTTTGGTTTTCAGCCTTGTCATAAAATTCACCAGGAAAAACAAATTTCTAGAAGAAGTAATTCCAATGCATGCTAGGAAATGCATGAGCTTATAATTATGTAAACAATGCATATTTTGGTCATTTTAAAAAGATGAAAAAAGTCATTAGCATTTATTAAGGACCTGTTATATGCCCCAGGCACTGTGCTAAGCCTGCTGGATACAAAGAAAGGCACCTGATCTCAAAGAGTTGATGGTCTAATGGGGGAGACAACATGCAAACAACTAGCTACAAGCAAGATATACATATATATATATATATATATATATATAGGATAACTTGGAGGCAGTTTCAAAGGGAAGGCACTAAAACTAAGAAAGAATACTAGGAAAGGATTCTAGCAGAAGGTGGAACTTTAACTGAGACTTGCAAGCCAAGGAAACTAGGTGGCAGAGACTGAGTAGAAAGAACATTCCAAGCATGTGGGAAAGCCAGTGGAAAAAGCTTAGAGTTGGGACATGGAACAGTAAGGTGACACAAACACAGAAGAAAACAATAACTTGAAAACATCTACATGAGCAAAATCTCAAAGAAAATGCTGTAAAAGTTAAAAAGAGCTAAAAAATTATTTTAAAAAGAAATGAGAGAGGAAAGTATGTGAAAAGAAGCAAGAGCTAGGGAATAAAGATTTAAAAAGAAAAGAAATGGAACAAAACAACTCCTTGGAAAATAGAATTGGCCAAATGGGAACCAAGATGGCAGAGTAGAGGAAGCACTTGGCTGAGTTCTCCCAACATTCCCCTCCAAACAACTTTAAAATAATGCCTCAGACTGAATTCTGGTATGGCAGAGCCAACAAACAGTCAGAGTGAGACATTCTTCCAGCCCAAAACAACTTAGAAAGTCAGAGAGATCTGGGACACAGAGATGGCGGATGGCCTGAAGTCCTTGCATTTGAAACACCAGTGGTAGGACCAGGAGATAGTGACAGGAGCAACAGCAACTTTGGGATCTCTCAAGCAAGAGATAGTAGAAGGGACCTGACAACTGGTCAGGAAGAGATTACAGGGTATCACTGTGCTAGCAATAAATTCAAGACCAGATGCTATTTGGCAACTTCACTGCTTACACCCACTTCTGAGGCATAGCTCAAGGGCAGAAAGGAGCACTTTCAGTCAAGAGGGACAGGGAGCCCTGAAGGGCAACTCTTTGGCATCTCCATTACTTATCCCCACCTCTGGGTAATAGTTCAAGGGCAGGAGAGGAGCACTTTTGGTGAAGATGGAGTGGAAGCCCTAAGGGGAAATATCATTTCCAGCCCCAAAGGATCAGGGATCCTGAGGAACAGTATCATATCTGCACCTAAGGGAAGAGGGGCCTTGATGAGCAATACTGATGGCAGTCCCAAGGGATGAGAGGTCTTTTATGGGTAAGGACTAGACTGCAGACAAAGAGTGCAATGATGACACCTCTGCCCAGACCACATCACTTTGAAAGCATCAAAAATTTCCAAAATCCCAGAACTCTCTGGAAATAGTAGGGCAAAAAAGCCTGTAGTTTGAGAAAGAATCTCCCCAAACTGAGAACAGAATCCAAAATTAACATAAAGTTCCAAATCAAGAAGTAGGAAAGAGAAATAAGCAAATAACAAAAAAAGAACCTGACCATTTCTTGAAATACGTCTAGCCTTTTTCTTTGATCATGACTTTCAGGTAATCCAGCAATTCTTAAATTACCTCTCCTCAATCTATTTCCCAGGTCAGTTTTCTGATGAGATATTTCACATTTTCTTCTATATTCTCAGTCTTTTGACTTTGTTTTATTGTTTCTTGATATCTTGAGTAGTAATTAGCTCCCAGTTGTCCAATTCTACTTTTTAAGGAATTATTTTCTTCAGTGAGTTGTTGTACCTCTTTTTTAATTTGGCCAATTCTAATTTTTAAGGAATTTTTTCATGAATGAATTTTTGTACCTCTTTTTCCATTTGGTCAAATCTGTTGTTTTCCTCGGTATTTTTTGTGCCTCTTTCACCAAGATGTTATCTTTTCATAATTTCTTCTTCTGCTTTCATTTTGTTACCTAATTTTCCCCCTATCATTTTTATACGTTTTTGAAAATCACTTTTTCTGTGTGACCTTGGGCAAGTCACTTAACCCTGACTGCCTCACAAAAAAAAAAAATCACTTTTAACGCACTTCTGGGAATTCTTATTGGGCTTGTATCCAATTCACATTTTTCTTTGAGGCCCTGCTTGTAGCTATTTTGACTTAATTGTCTTCTGAGTTTGTGTCTTGATCTTTCCTATCACTATAGCAGCTTTTTTGGTAAGGTTCTTCTTGTTGTTGTTCTTTGCTTATCTTTCCACTCTACTTCTTGATTTGGAACTTTATGTTAATGTTGGGCTCTGTTCCCAGTGTGGGAATTTTGGCTGGGGGTAGGGCCTAGGGTAGGGAGGCAGGGATCAAACTTCAGGTTGTTTTGTACTGCTGTTTTCAGAAGTAGTTCTGAGATTTGGAAGTTTTCAGTGCTTCCAAAGTGGTGTGGGCATTGCTTTTTGTCCACACTCTGGTCCCTACCCAGAAAGAGTCCCAGAAACATTGGGGTTGCCATTGATACTGCTCCTTGGTGCCTCTCTTCCCTTTTGAAAAAAAAAATGAAGAAAATCCATATAGAAGTAGTCCTACCATTCCTTTTATGACATAAATATGGTGCTGATATCTAAACCAGGAAGACTGAAAACTGAGAAAAACAATTATAAACCAATTTCCCTAATGAATATTGATGCCAATTTTTAAAATAAAACACTAGCAGAGAGATTACAGCAATATACCACAAAGACCATATGCTATGACCAGGTGGGATTTATGCCAGGAATGCAGAGCTGGTTCAATATTAGGAAAACTATAAGCATAATTGACAATATCAATAATAAAAACAAAAGTCATAAGATTACATCAATAGTTTCAGAAAAGGCCTCTGACAAAATACAATACCACTCCTATTAAAAACACTAGAAAGCATTAGAATCAATGGAACCTTACTTAAAATGGCAAGTAATATCTATCTAAAATTAAGAACAAGCATTATCTGTAATGGGGATAAAAAAGCCTTCCCAATAAGATCAGGAGTGAAGCAAGGATGTCCATCATTACCATTATTATTCAATACTATACTAGAGATGCTAGCTATAGCAGTAAGAGAAGAAAAAAGAAAATGAAGGAATTAGAATAGGCAATAAGGAAACAAAACTATCACTCTTTGCAGATGGTATAATGGTATACTTAGAGAATCGAACTAAAAAACTAGCTGAAACAATTAAAAACTTCAGCAAAGTTGCAGGATATAAAATAAACCCACATAAATCATTGGCATTTCTCAATACTACCAATAAAACCCAGGAGCAAGAGGTAGAAAGAGAAATTCCATTTAAAATAACTGTGTTCAAAATGAAATACTTGGGAGGCTACCTGCCAAGAAAAACCCAGAGATTGTATAAACACAATTACAAAACACTTTTCACACAAATAAAGACAGATCTAAACAACCAGAGAAATGTAATTGCCCATGAGGTCTAGCCAATATAATAAAAATGACAATTCTACCTAAGTTAATTTACTTATTCAGTGCCATACCAATTAAATTACCAAAAATCATTTTATAGAGTTAGGAAAAATAATAACAAAATTCATCTGGAAGATCAAAAGGTCAAGAACCAAAGGAATAATTTTTTTAAAAAATGCTAAAAGTAGACTAGCAGTTCCAGATTTCAAACTATACAAAGCAGTGATCACCAGAACAATTTGGTACTGGCTAAAAAATAGAGTGGTAGATCAGTGGAATAGCTTGGGTACACAATATACTGTAGCAAATGACCATAGTAATCTAGTGTTTGACAAACCCAAAGATCCAAGCTTTGGGTGTAAAAATTAACATTTGACAGAAATTTCTGGGAAAACTAGAAAGCAGATTGGCAGAAACTAGGCACAGATCAACATCTCACACCATATGCCAAGATAACATCAAAATGGATAAATCATTTAGACATAAAGGATGATATCTCATAAGGAAATTGGGGGAGCATGGAAAAATGTACCTGTCAGACCTAGGGGTAAGGGAAGAGTTTATGACCAGAGAAGAAATAGAGGACATTACAGGAAGCAAAACAGACAATTTCAACGACAAGAAATTAAAAGGCTTTTGCACAAACAAAATTAATGCAGCCAAAATTAGAAGGAAAACAGGAAACTGGAAAAAAATTTGCATCATGTTTGTCTGATAAAGGCCTCATTTCTCAAATATGTAGGGAACTGAGCCAAATTTATAAAAATAAGAGCTATTCCCCAGTTGATAAATGATCAAAGGATACCAACAGGCAGTTTTCAGAAGAAATCAAAACTATTAATCTCAATCACATGAAAAAAATGTTCTAAATCATTACTGATTAAAGAAATACAAATTAAAACAACTCTGAGTTACTAACTCACACCTATCAGATTTGGCTAACATGACAGAAAAGGAAAATGACAACTGTGGGAGGAGATGTAGAAAAATTAGGATACAAATGCACTGTTGGTGGAGTTGTAAAGTAGTCTAACCATACTAGAGAACAACCTGGAACTCTGCCCAAAGGGCTATAAAACTGTGCATACCTGTTGACCTAGCAATACCACTACTAGGTCAGTATCCCAAAGAGATCAAAAAAAAGGGGAAAGGACCTATTTGTACAAAAATATTTATAGCAGCTCTTTTTCTGGTGGCAAAATTGGAAATAAAGGGGATGTCCACCAATTGCAGAATG